ATTTCATTAATAAAAAATTAATAAATATTTTACATTTCAACAGTTGTGGTGATACCATCTGATGACCCACTTACATGTTTTTCAATATTATTTCAATTTTCTATTTTAGGACTTTTTAATCCTCAAATGCTGCTAAATTACCTTTCATTGACTCTGCCCAGCATTGGACTGCTTGGTTTACATCATCTGGTCAAATCACGATACAGGTATGGTCAGCCCTGTTGGTAGGTTTAAGCCGCTTTACTTTCTGTTAGTGAGGTCTGTGTGTCTTAAGGTCCCTTCACGAAACTCAATGGTAGGGCCAGCAGGTGCTGTGGTGGTAGAACCGTGGTTTGAGTCCTGGACCTGAAGACTTGAAAATAACCCCAGGCATGGATTCACACGTGCTCAAAATCCCAGGAGGGATTGTGGCATGGCCATCCATCTGGGAGAGGGGTGTGGTTTCTCACTTTCCCTCTCTCTTTCTCTCTGGTGAGCACACATGCCTAACACCTCCCCCCCCCCAAAAAAAAAAGAGAAAAAAGAAAAAGAAAGAAAAAGAAAAAAGGAAACTAAACACACTGGTCTCCTTGGATGTTGACAAGGAAAGGCCAGAAATCTCTCCTAATTTGGAGATTTTAGTTCTCACAGCAATAGTGTGGCAGGCACATTTGCTTGGAGCCTGTCTGATTTGTATCTGGCTAAGCTGCTTCTGTGTACTCATATCTGTGTACCCATGAAGAAACCATCTCTCCCTTTTAGAATCCCACTGTCTCTCAGTGTTTTCTGGAATGAACTGCAGCTCTTTATATGAATTCATGTAGGCTATATGCACCCTACTGGATTCTGAACTTTCTCATATGTGGTCTTCTACTGACAAATTCAGATAGTACAAAGGTCATTGGCAAACTATGGCTCTTCTCTGGAGCTACTAGCTTTCTGTCCCTAGGGACCCAAGTTCCATTTTTCTAATTGGGCTTAGGCAAGCCATACATTTCTGCTTAAAGTCCAGACCCCCTGAAATACAGGGAGGTTAGAAGAATGACAATCCCAAGGATTCACATCATTTAAAAACAGGTTGAACATTTCTCATTCAAAATCCAAAAAATGCTCCAAAATCTGAAACTTTCTGAGCACTGATATGACACTATAAATGCAATATTCTAAACCTAATCTCATATGATAATTCACCGTTAAAACAAGATAATTGTCTAAAATTACATTCATTTTATCTGTATAAGGTATATATAAAATATAAACAAAATTTGTGTTTAGGTTTGGGTCCCATTCCCAAGACACCTCATCAATGTATGAATATTCCATTATCTGAAAAACATCTTAAATCTGAAACACTTCTCGTCCCAAGCATTTCAGATAAGGGATACTTAACCAGTATTTACAGACTGGGCATGAGAACTTCAGATCCTGGGACTCAAGGTCAGTGCAATGACTTTATAACTTAAAAAAAACAAAAAAGGTTTACCATTTCTAAAATATTGTGTGAAAACGGAAATCACTGTGCTGAAAATGTTTTGTTCCTTTTTAAGCTCTTTAGTGTTATATTTATTTTTAATTATTTTATTTAACTTTATTTATTTATTTACTTATTTTTAATTTGACCAGAAAGGGACAGAATGAGAGAGAGAGAAAGCAAGCTGATAGGTCTGGGACTCAAACCATGGTCAGCCATGTGGGATTCTAGCACCCTTAACCACCATTCCACCTGCTGGCCCCCTTTAGTGTTATATTATCTTTATATGTTTATAGTGGAGAAAATTGGTTCTACTGGCTACTGCTGAATGAGGGAACAGAGTAGAACTGAAGAAGTTATAGTAAATGTTCAGTATCAGCATCCATAGTCTTGTTTGATGTAGCGGCTGTTGGGTCTACGGAAATACACCTTTGTTTATGCTTCCAAGTGTTACTTTAATCTCTAGATAAAAGTGTAGAGGGGAAGTTGCCAAAATTAGTCCACCTTTTGGGCTCAGGCCACAGTTAAACTTAGATATAAAGGAGATCAAAGGGTTTCCATCCCGATCCAAGTAGCTGCAGGCCAGCTGCATAGCTGGTGGCCATATGAAATGGCTGAAAACATTCTGATTTGGAACATCTAAGCAATTCTTTCTGGTCTGTAAGGCATGAAAGGAGGCAGCGTACATGTCTGCTTTTAAAATGCCTGCCTGCCTTCTAGGATTTGACAAAGAAATACTTGTTTAGAATTTCATAATAAAGTCTAGGGGAATCTCCCAGATATTCCTGCAGGCTGCTTCAGGAAGTCTCTCAGGATGGACAGTTTCTCTCTCCTCCCCAGAACAAGCAAAGCTGATTCTGTTCCTGGTCCTGTGGTAGGCAGTTAGTTAGCCATGAGTGGGCAGCCCTAAGAGAAAAAAAAGCGAAAGGCTCACATAGCCCCGGGCACTAGGAGGGCAAGGCAGTTTGCCATTTCCCTTCCTTGGGGCCTGAGGGAAGCATACAGGGATGATTCTTAGAGTTTTCTCTTATCAAAAAGACTCAACCAGCAGTTTGGTCAACACCCTAATCCCCAAGTAAGCGATTTGGTCAACGCCCTAATTCCCACTAGGTCAATGCCCTAAATCCCACTAGGATGATGAATTAATTAGGCAGTCTAATTAAACAACCTGGCTCACACTGGGCATGATCAATAAGGTAATCAAATTCCTCATTCCTTACCTGTGAGAGAACTGCGCAAGTGCAGGAGAAAATGCGCGAATTCAAATTCAAACGAAGGACATAGGTAGTATGACAAACCTCCCACCAATAAATATTCATAATCACCTCTAGTAATAAAAGTAACAATTAACCAGTGTCAAGCGCATTTGCCACCTGGCAATCTGCCCGCCCAAGAGCCTTTTTGGGTGTACTTTCCTTTCTTTCCTATTAAACTTTCCTCTCTACCTACTTCATTCGTGGTTGCAGTTTCATTTTGCACCTAGGAACAGATCTCTAATTTTAGTGATCTGGACCCAAAGAACCAAGGACTTCACAAAGCAGCTCGACATTCTCCCATCCGTTAACAGTCCTTCCTTTGGGTGAAGCCCAACTGTTAAGGCTTCTTTGTAAGATGGATATGACCACCCGTGCGTGGCCTTCTCTCCCTCTTCTTTTCTATTCTCTCTTCTCTTCTCTTCTCTTCTCTTCTCTTCTCTTCTCTTCTCTTCTCTTCTCTTCTCTTCTCTTCTCTTCTCTCTCTCTCTCTTCTCTTCTCTTCTCTTCTCTTCTCTTCTCTTCCTCTCCTCTCCTCTCTCTCCCTTCCTTCCTTCCTTCCTTCCTTCCTTCCTTCCTTCCTTCCTTTCTTTCTTTCTTTCTTTCTTTCTTTCTTTCTTTCTTCTTTATTTTTTTTTTATCACTAGAGGGCATTCACACTTGACAGGCAGTTGTAGAGAGTGCAGTACCCCAGTGGGGCAGGGCTATGCTCCAATCCCTTCCACTCCATTTCTCCATCCTGTCAAGATTTGGGGCATGCATGCACATAAGCCAGTGTATTTTTCAGGTTGCCAGGACCAGAATTTGAATTACAGTGTTGGCCATGTAGGATCAGGTTCCTTAACCATGAGGGGACCAACTCATCCTTTCCTCTTTGATAATTGCTTTTTACAGAGACTCAGGCTGGGAGTACACAGGATCTCCTCGGGTTCTTTGCGTAAATAGGGTCACCAAATTATTTTCTCTACAAACCAGAACACTTTTGTAAGTAAAAGGAATATTAATAGTAACTAAACCCAGAAAACTGGGGTAAAGTGAGACTATTCTGACAAATTGGAGTGCGTGGCCACCCTAAGCACAGGGAAATGGGTGATTTGGGGCACCTAGAAACTCAAGTTTAACTCTTCTTTTCCTGTCCATGATTGGACCTTTTCTAGTCATGTTATTACAGATGAACATTTTCTCTATAGCAAACACAGCAAGAAAAAAAAAAACCCTGGAAAATAAATTTCCGTGTGACTCAGAACACAGGCCCCTTGTTAAATAATGTAGCTCCTGAATAGATTTTGTTGCAAAGAAAATGTTCTGTACAAATTCTTTAAAGAAGTCTTTCAAATGGACTTTTTCATTTCTTTTTAGGATGCCACCACCCACTATTTACAAAGAAGGTCTTGAAGGGGAGCCGAAACCCCTCAGGCCATTGCTAGCAAAGAGATGTACATTCAGTACCGAGAACACGCAAACGCTGTTGTAACTACACCCAAAGTATTTTTTGTGTCTGACATATTTTCTGTCTTCCAACTGCAGTCATATTGCTGTGTTTTCTTTCTGTTTGTTTTACCACTTCCCTTCTAAATATTTTACATCATCCTGGAGATGTTCCCAAGTTGTGGTCTGCTCACTGGAGGGCTGCATTCCTCTGATTTGTGGCATTGTGTTGCCATGGCAAGGGTTGTTTACCATAAGGGAATACTTTACAGGAGCGGCCCCTCCCACAGCAATTCCAACCTCCTTTCGTCCTTTTCCCCACACACTCAAATGCTCTGAGACAGCAGCCCAGATACGGCTTTCTCTAATCACCAACGACATTCCCCGAGTGTGAACTTTGCTTTCGAGATAGAGAAATATTTGGCTCTGTTTATTCCTTTCAAACTGGGTAGTGGCTCCTTCACTGTTATGACTAATCCGCTTGTCAGGGTTGGAATCTCCTAACAGTTCTTTCCCCCAGGTAAATCACATCGCTCAAACTTGTAAGGCAGAAATGCCACAGAGGTTAAAGGCTGACCTTGCGGTGGTGGAAGCCCGTCTACTTGACAGAGGCCTCTCTTAACTGTGAAGGTTTTTATTTTTTCAGAAGGAAAGCTTAGTCAGACCCCACAGGTCTTGCTCCTTCACATTCCTGCAGAGGAACCAGCTAGGGGAGAGATAAGAGACACAGGTCGACACCCTGATTATGCCTACCTTTTTATTTGTTAAACGTGGAAATTGACTTCATCCAATTAATAAGGGCAGGAAACAGTTTTTGTTTTCTTTTTGCAGGAAAACATGAAGTAACGGTTTTATCTTAATTTGTCAGGCATTGCCCAAGAGACTATGGCCATGTGGGCCGGTGGCCAAAAATGGCTCTAAGGTCCAAGTATTAACACCCAGATATAAAAAGAATGCTAATTGGTTTTCCAGCTGAGAAATAATAAGGTACTCAGTGCCAAAAAAATGTTGTATGGCATGGAAGCCCCAGGTTTATACAATAGAGCCTGATTGCAATCTGGGGGCTCCATTTGTACTAGTTTGTGGAGCTAAACAAAGGGAGTTTCGCTCCTCTGCCTTTGTAGAAAGCCTCTGCTCCAGATCTCTGCCTGGTGTTTCACCAGGCTTCCCACAGTCTTCCTGCCAACTCTCCAAGTTTTTTCCTGGCCGCCATTCAGGAAAGTACAGCTTCGTCCGTAGCATGGAAAGTTAAAAAGCCCTCGCTTGGATACGCTGAAATATATACAAACACAGCTTGACATATCGGGCAGGCTGATTTTGCAGGGCTGTTGCTGCCGCATCCTAAGGAAAAAGAATGTAGGACTTTTAAAAGCCATTTAAGCTAAATGACTGAGTTATCAGTTGGGAAAAAAACAAACAAAAAACTATATGTGTGTGTGTGTGTTACAAAAAAGCAAATTCAGCATCCCCCTTAAACTTAACAATTACCCACCTTAATTTCTTCATTAGTAAAACCTCTAAGATCTCATCCAGTGTGGGATGTCTCTAACTTAAGGCCTGGGTTTAGTACGCATAGAAAACACTCAGTATCTACTGAATATCATCGCCAAGGTCACTAGAAGTGAGCTGGGGTGAGAATCAAACTCTGGAGCCTTTGTAGGGGACAGGCTCCCCTCGCTTGTGTGCTCATGCATATTGGCCAGGTGCCCCCCTGGTCTGTGGCTTCACACCACAGATGGTTGATGGGAATGTGATTGAATTGAAAATATTTTGTAATGCTTAGAACCCTGTTCTAGTGATAGTAAGACGTCTATAGAACTCACAGTATGCAACTAGTATTTCCCATAATGCTTTTGAATATAGTTAATTCTTAAATTTACTAACAATCCTCTTGGGACCAGCAGTTGGCGTAATGGCTATGTTGCTGCACTCCATTGTAGTCAACCGTGGTTCTGAGTCTCAGACCCCATAGCTTAAATTCAGGCGGGGCGTGTGTGTGTGTGCCCAGGTTCCTGAGAGGAGAATGGAGGAGAAGGAATTGCGGCGTGGCCATACCCGCTGGGAGGTGATTTCTCACTTTCTGTCTCTCTGTCTCTCTCTGTCTTTCCGGTGAGCGCATGTGCCCTATAGCAAAAACCTCTCCGGAAATAAATAAATAACTACCCTCTCACTGATAATGATCATAGACTCTGTCTGTGAATCTAGTCATGTATGTAAGAATAGAAATGTAAGTTTAAAGGTGTTTTTATGTACAAGGAGCTGAGATCTGCTCAGCCAGCCCAAATCAGGGAAATGTATTGTAAACCTACAGCGTCCAAAGAATAAGATTTGCCTGATATGAACTGGAAACCTGTTAGAAGCCAAGGCAGATTTCTCTAGCCCTCAGGATCACACAGTTCCCCTCTGATTCTTTCCCAGGAATATCTACTTTCATGTTCTTTCCTTTCTGTCTGCCAAATTTCCTTGCTTTATCATTTCAGGTTATTTTATTTTATTTTATTTTCCCGTTCAATTTCCCCCCAATAACTAAATTAGATTTACAATCTTAAACCAAATTATAAGGGATTTGATCATCTCATCTTGTGCTGAAATATCTAACCTGCCTTTCAATCAGTGTGCATGGCAGAGCAGAGGCAAAGTGGTAAAAATGTCTGCCTAAACTAATTCCTACAGAAGCCTGTAGATGAAGGACTTTCAGAGAAGAGGATATGGGCAGGTTGGTGTTCTGAAATAAAGCCACCACCTGCAGAGTTGTATTATTCACACAAGAAAGATTTCTTGGAGGCAAGGATTAGATTTCACTTTGTTAAACATGTTGTTGTTTACTATAGGGTATGTGCACTTACTGAAGAGGCACAGAGAGCAAGAGAGAAATTGAGGGGGAAAAAATATCCGAGAATGGATGGCCATGCCATAATCCCTTCTCTTCCATTCTCCTCTTGGAATTTTGTACCCAGCATGTTTTTCAAGCTGCCAGGTCCAGGATCGAACAGTAGAGTTGTCTTAATCCACCACACCACTGGCTGGCCCTCACTTTAATGACTTCTATCACTGTGTATAGTATAGTGCTGTTCAACTGCCAGTGATTCTCCATGCTGGTTGCACATTAGAATCACCTAGGAAAATTTAGGAGCATTTCAGTATTCAGTCCTTTCTCTTGCCACTACCACCAGAGATTATGATTTCATTGGTTATAGGGGTATGGCCCAGTACCAGGTATCAAGAGTTGTTGTGCTTGGGACCAGCAGTTGGCATAATGGCTATGTTGTTGGAGTCCCATATAGTCAACCACAGCTCGAGTCCCGAACCTGGTGGCTTAAACTCACGCTGGGGACATGTGCATGTGTACCCAAGATCCTGACAGGAGAATGGAGGAGAGGGGGTTGTGGCCTGGCCATGCCCCCGGGGGGTTGCTTTCTGTCTCTGTCTCTCTCTGACTTTCTGGTGAACACATGTACCCTATAACAAAATCTTCTCAAAAAAAAAAAAAAAAAAAAAGTTGTGCTTTCCAAATAGCAGCCCTGACCTTGATATTTCTGAGTTCAGAACCACAGAAAGTATTACTTTTAAGGGTGGAGAAATTATTACTCTTATAAGTCAAGACATGGTATAAATTGAAGTTATTAACTTCTTGCCCGGCCTTTGTAGTAGGTAGCATTCATGTCAAGTTAGGTGAATACCGGTAACATGGGTAACTTTAGAGAATTTAACATTTTTAATTTTGTAATTTTTTAATCCCTTTAATTCCATTAAATCTGTTACTCAATGATTATTTCTTCAGGATTTTTCTTTAATCACATAATAAATCAATACATCTTGAGAATTAGTACTGTTTCTGGATTCTTCAAGGGCAGGGTCTTATGACTAGGAACTTTTAAGATTCAAAAATAAATTCTAAACTGAAGATAATTCAGAAAGCCACTCTTTAGTTTTTTAGTGATAACACTTAAAATATCATTTAATAAATTTGAACTGAGCCAAGCTTGCCACCAGGATAGCAAGGGATAGATTTATTACAGGGCCTATATAAAGATGCTCTTGTGGCGATTTCTTTATAATATCCTTGTGGTGGCCAAGGTTTGTCTTAGGCATTAGAACCAACAGATGTGATTCACTACTTGGAGAATTCCTTATTGGACTAGTTTGGTACTGTCAGTGAATCCAAGGAGATATTCCAAACTTCTAAGTGAATTGGCTCAAATGCTGATTTTTGAAGGAAAAACTCTACCTTTCCTGCCAAATGCCTCTGAGACTACCTTCAGACCTTTGTTAATGACTCCTGGAAGTATAGCCACCCTGATATTCTGAATACAATGGCGTTCGATTATTTCTCCTACAGAATATACATTGTGGGCTTTTACATTTCCTACTCCAGTTTGCTTTCCTCAGAAGGAACTGTTTTTCCAATTCACCTGCAGTTCTTTAGTTTTCTTATAAAGCATGTGTACTCACCAGACACCAACAGAGAGGTAGAGGGAAAGTGAGAAAGCAACCCTCAAGAGGGAATGACCACACTGCAGTCCATGATCCTCTTGGGATTTGGGGCATGCGCACACATGTGGCCAGCATGTTTTTCAAGCTGCCTAATCCAGGACTCAAACCACATGCTTGACCATGTGGGATACAGTTGCCTTAACCACCATGTCATCTGCTGGCCCTACCTGAAGTACACTTACAGAGGGCTGGTAGCACTGACATTTTTGACAAAGGGTCTTGAGAGAGAATACTGTGGAAGACATCTTTTACAACTTTTGTACAGCATAATCAGACGCAATTTTTCTCTTAAATTACAGCATAGACAAGTAACAGGACTAACACTCTATGATCCCAGAGTTCTTGTTCCTGAACTCTGGACCTGAAGTTCCTTCTTAGATTTACTACATATGTCCAGTCAACACCTGATGGCCATTAATATAATTATGATGCCAGTTCTTAAACACCCTTTGGAGGTGATGTAAATGGCTTATCCTTTCACTAAAAAGATACTGACTTTGCCTGGCGGAAGCAGCAGAGACCTTGTAGGCTGAATACGGTCAGTGTGTCTGCACCGGCTGGAAGATGCTCTGGGGTGTGCAGTCCCAAACAGCAGATCCTGTGGCCATCTTGGCAAGAAAGGTATGCTTGTTTGTCGGACACATATATCACACATGATCTACTATGTCACGTGCTTGTTAAGGTCCATATTTAAGATTTCCTCAAGTGAGTTTTGTTTATTTCTCATGAAAAATCTTCCCTAAACACCTAATGGAGATAACCACAATCTATTTCTCCAGCATGGAGTACTAGGATTATCCTCCATACATTTTTTCCTTCTGTAAGTAATTTGTTCTGTTCCCATCTCGATCATAAACCAGGTCTTTTAAAGATCATTTCCTTAGCAAAGACTCTACTCTAGTAATTGAGGGCAGCCAGTAAAATATGACCTACTCACAAAACGTTCCCTTTTTACCTGTTTTGCTCCTCAGTCAATTCAAATTAATGTTTTTTCAATCAATTTTTTTATTATTTATTTATTTATTTATTTATTTATTTATTTATTTATTTAAAATTGACCAGGGTGGGGGTGGAGGGGGGAGAGAAGGAAAGTGAGAAAGCAAGCCACCAGGTCCAGGACTCAAACTGTGGTAGGCCATGTGGGAGTTCAGTACTTTTAACCACCATGTCACCTGCTGTCCCTTCAAATTAATATTAAAATATTATTTTGGTATCAAAATTGCTGTGCTACCTCTAGTGATTCCCTTTCTATGCTGCTACCACTCAGCTGTTAGCTATTCTTTTCTTGAGTCCTGGAGGGTTTCCATGCTCAGAGTGAGCAGCTATGGTGAGCAGGAGAGAGAAGCAAGAAAAATGGTGATCAGTCATAGGACTACCTATGGAGAAGCTAAGAATTGCAGGCCTTACCTTTTGTAGATTAAATTGTGACCTTGACTTTTCACTCCCATGCTAAAATCCAAGTTAGTTAGAGAGGGCCAGCCTTTTGGCCTAGTGGTTAAGGAAGTTGGATCCCACATGACTGAGTGGGGTTTGAATACTGGCCCTAGAATCTTAGAAAACATGCCAGGCAGATGTACATGTGTACCCCAAATCCCAAAAAGGATGGAGAAATGGAGAAGAAATTATTATAGTATGACCATCCCCTATTTGGGGATTATTTTCCCCTTTTCTGTCTCTCTCTCTCTCCAGTGAGTACATATGTCTTCCAGCCACAAAAAAAGTCAAACAAACTAAAACAAGTTGGAGACCTTCAAAGAAATGGAACAACTGACCTGAGGACAGCCATGGTTGTTTGCTCATTTGTTAAGGAGTCAGATTTTGCACAGCTTCAAAATAACCCTAAACACGGTATAAGAAACACAAGGTTACTATGCACAGAATGACTGTGAGAAGCTGAGAAACTAAGCCTAGGCCCTTATTCTAATTTTTGATGCCTTGAATCTGATGTATCTTACATAGGACTCTTAGCAAGCTCAGTTATCTTTTTTTCCAAGCCCAAAAGAGATTAGAAACAAATTAGAAGCGGGCATTCTGGCAGCACTGGACAGATTGGAGACCTGACAACTTGATAGCAAAGGAAAAGCATAAAAATGGAAAGTAGGTGCAGACTTGTGCTCTGCATTATAGCACGGTGCAAGATAAGATAAAGTGATGTACCACTGTTATCAAGGAAGATTAAATTATGACTTGTGTTTTTAATTTAAAACACAGTTATCTGCCTTCTCTCTCCCCACAAGGAGGTTAGCATAAACAGCTTTGGAACTCACAATTTTTCATTGTCTGAAAAATGAGTAATATAAAAAATATTTCCTTCTCCTATAATTTCTGCCAATAAATCTTGCAAAAGTCATGAATAAACCACATAAGTAATGTCTTTCTGTTGCATACACTCTCAGAACTGCCCATTTCATGTTCTAGTTACCGTCTTACTTCATCTTTCATTATTATATTCATTATTTTTCCTGCCATTCTGTTTACACCAATGCTCCTTGCTTTTTCTTTTTTTTTTTTAGAGGTTTTTGCTATAGGGCACGTGTGCTTGCCAGACAGACAGAAAGAGACAGAGAGACAGGAAGCGAGAAATCACCCCCCAGGGGGGATGGCTATGCCGCAGTCCCCTCTCCTCCATTCTCCTTTTGGGATCTTGGGCACACACACACACGCACCCGGGGTGAATTTTAAGCCACCGGGTCTGGGACACGAACCACAGTCGACTATGTGGGAGTCCAACGACTTAGCCAGTATGCTAACTGCTGGTCCCAGCTCCTTGCTTTTTCTTAACTTCTGTGTTGGCAGTTAAGAACCCAACAATTTCCCAAAAGGTCAGAAATGGTAAAGGAGATCACTACTGTTCTTCCCTTCATAACTAATTCTAAATTCTTTAACATTTAGTTGGCATAGACTGAATGCCTTACTTTAAATTGTTAGGATTATTAATAATAACTTGGTAAATTGACTCTACTGAATGGATAATGATTTATTCTAATATTTAGCTATAAAAAAGCAACTTCTAATTTTCAGAAGTTGTATCATCCACTTTGTAGATATCTCTACTAGAAATATCACAACTGATTTTTGAAAAACAATGATTTTATTTATTTATTTATTTATTTATTTATTTATTATTATTATTATTGAAATTTGACCAGAAAGAGATGGGGGGAGAGGGAGAGAGAAAAAGTGAGAAAGCAAGCCACCAGTTCCAGGACTCAATCCATAGTCAGCTATGTGGAAGTCCAGTACCTTAACCACAATGCCAACTGCTGGTCCCTTGTGGCTAATTTTTAAGTTAAAATTAATATATTAATTTACTTAGAAGTCATAATTTTATAGAAACAAAGGACTTGACAAGGTTTCAAAACAATCTTGAAAATTACTTTCTTGTCATGTGGAGTATGTTTGCATATGTAACTCTTGTTTGGAGATGCCTAAAGCATAAGAGAATCATGATTTCCAGAAAATATCACACTTCTATTAGCTTGAGTTCCCACTTAAAAGTCTGAGTAAAATCTCTTCTTGGTTATTTCAGAAAGCTGCCATCAGCTTCTATATTTGGAGACATTACCCAATGCATCGAAATATCAGAAGGAAGCCATGGAAGAGAAAACTACAATTAATTACTAGTTATCTCCAAGTGATGTGCTCAATGCTTTCTTAAAACTATCTAGGTGGTGGGACCAGCAGGTGATGTGGCGGTTAAGGTGCTGGACACTCCCACATGGCCGATCATGGTTCAAGTCCTGGACCTGGTGGCTTGCTTTCCCACTTTCTCTCCCTCTTTCTCTGTCCCTCTCTAGTCAAATTAAAATAAATGAATGAATAAATAAAAATTAAAAAAAAAACTATCTAGGTGGTTGTCTAATCCTAAGCCAGGGTTTCTCAACCTCAGTATTACTGATGTGTTGGGCTAAAAACGTCATTGTATTGTAGGGGCTATTTTGTGCATTCTAGGTCGCTTAGCAACATCCTTGGTCTCTACCCATACATGCCAGCAGTATCTGCTATTGTTGACAGCCAAATATGTCTCCTGACATTGCCAAATGTGCTATGTGTGGACCCACGGGAAATGTAGCGAGATGGAGGAGAGGAGCACATATTCACCACAGTTGAGAATCACTACCCTAATCATAACCCCAATCCACTGAACTGACATACTATTATGACTCTTGAGGCATAGTATCCAGAAAAGTATCTGCTGTCCTCTAAGATAGGAAAAAAAAAAAAAATGTTCTCTAACCTGTTCTCTAAGCAACTCTACTTGATTATGACTTCGTTACTAATAAAATATCCTGGTTGCATTGGGCCCAAGCTATTAATTATTTTATGTCTCCTCACAGAATACACATTTTTCTTCTCATTATTTTTCTATTGGATTTAAGTCTCTTTGCCACTTACCCTGCACCTAGTTAGCATGTACTTACATATATCATACAGGTATGCATCCTGGTTTGTCCAGATCAGTCTTGGAGTATGCATGTTAGCTAGGCATAAGTATTACTACAGCTCATTGTCAGTAAAGTGTCCTGGTTTTGGATAATAAACCCTGGTCATCCTTTTATGCCACTTTGGTAAAAAGATGTTCCTTTTAACTTTGCTGAAAAAAAAAGAGTGGAATAAAATTCAGTTGAAAATGGAATAAATAGAATGTATATTTACCCCTTTCCTCCCTCATCCATTCCACAGTGGAGTGGGGATTCCATTAACTAGAAGAAAAAATTACTCAGGATGGGAGTGTTCATGAATAGACCAGTAGTCTGAACATGTTCCTTGAAGGCAGAAGCAGCTAATATTCTTTTGACAGATGAGCCAGAATGGAACTGGCAGCAGCCCACAACTTGTAGTAGAAATTGCCCTTCTTTCTGACAGAACTACATAGAGTTTCTATATCCTCTTGGCAGCAGGTCTAACAGGCGAGATTAGGAAGAAAGTAATTAATTAAAGAACTAGCTATGTAACAGCTAATTGAATTGCAAGTCTTTCCAAATATAGAATTAATAGTGACTTTTAACTCATCCTCCCCAGTCCCAATCTAAGCCAAAGGACTGATTGCTAAAGAAATGGAACAATCTTGCCAAAAAACTATAACCTCTCTTATTGGTTTTAGCACTCCAGGAAAAAAAATGCAAGATAATAAGGAACCTAATTTGCATCAATTTTTCCTCCATTTCTTCTTCAAGTGAAGACCACCACCTGCCTTAGAGAAATGGAACATCAAAAGAAACCCATGCTAACTATACACTAACTAATTGAGTTAATTCATATTGACAAATATGAATAGCCAAACAAGGACTATAATCCATTAAGAAAAATTAAGAATTCAACAGAGATAATAAAAATTAACAAACAGAATAAATGACTTAAAAGGAAATAGGAAATGTAAGTGAAAGTTTTGAATGTTATTAATATCTTCAGAAAGATCTGACTAAATTTTGTATGTATAAAATAAGCTTAGACTCCTGTAAGAGTGAATATCTAGAAAATAAGTAAGAGTATCTAGAAATCAAAGCACACAAGAGTATTTCAAAAACTTCATAAGGAATAGAATTAAAGTAAAAGTTTATTTTGGTGTAAAATATTTAGAAATCTATGCATTTTTCCATAATATTAATATCCCATGAATGTTCTGAAGACTCCTTATAGTTGCCCAAATATACAAATATAAGGAAATAATAGAAAATGAAGTTACCTCAATATCCCAGAGTCTAGAGAAAACAAGATGTAAAAGTTACATTTTGGGAGAGGGCCTGCAGGTGGCATGATGGTTAAGGTGGGGAGAGGGCCAGCAGGTGGCATGATAGTTAATGTGTTGGACTCTTACATGGCTCACTGCTGTGTGAGTCCCAGACCTAGTGCCTTGAAAATCAGGCCAGGCACGTGTCTGTGCTTGCCCCAAATCAAGGGATTACAGCGTGGCCATCCTCCCTTGGGGATGTTTTCTCACTTTCCTTTTCTTTGCCTCTAATGGGCGCAAATGCCCTATGGCAAAAACCTTTAAAAGAAAAGACAAAAAATAAAATGAATATAAACTTGAAAAAAGTTAAATATGGAAAATCTATTCTGACCAGTAAGCATGTATCTTTTAGAAGTTCTATTGCTATAGGGTTCTGGGAAGATGGCAAAGTAGGAAGCATCAGGTATCTGTTTCCTCATTAGACAACAACTGTGCTGGCAGATTCTATTTGATGTAGTAACTTTGGAAATCCAGAATATTTTGAAGGCTTACAACTTTCTGGGGGAGAGTATGGACAGAACATTGCAGTTAATTTCAGCTTAGCACAGCTTCCCATGACAGGCAGCTAGGCATGTGTTTCTGCAGCAACCTGTACACACTTTTAGAGAGCCAGGATTGGCAACAAGGACCCTTTTGTACAATTATTACAAGATCTGTTCTTTTATTTCTCCCTCTGATTGGAGATACGAAGTGGCAGACAACCAATGCTGTTGTACCTCCACACATTATTGTAAGCCTGAAATGACTTCTGAGATATTTAGTGGTCTAGAGCACTTTTTCCTGCCCTCTTCATTTCTCTTTACCCTTTTTGACATAAAGACTAGGACGTTCAAACAACTGCATGTAGACAGGAAGTGAGAAAGTTAACTATACATGCCCAGGGAAAGATACGGGCTAAGAAAAAACCTGAGAAGATCATCTGTTTATGCCTAAATGATTTTTGGCAAAGGTCCCATGACCATTCAATGGGGAAAAGATATTCTTTTCAATAAATATTACTGTGAAAACTAAATATCTAGATATCCACATGCAAAAGAATGACGTTGGACCTTTAGCTAATGCTATATGGAAAAAATTAACTCAAAATAGTTAAAACTACATGAAAGACCCAAATGTATAATACTCCTAGAAGAAAACATATGACAAAAGTTTTGATTATGGACTTAACAATAATTTCTTAGATATAACACCAAAGGCATAAGTAAGAGAAAATAGAAAAGGTGACATTATGAAAATTTGAAATATTTGTGTCAAAAGACAATATCAGCCAAGTAAAAGACAATCTTTAGAATGAAAAATTACTTGAAAATCATATATTTGATAAGGGATTAATATCCAGAATATATACAGGATGTCAAAAATTCAACAGTGACAACCACCTGACTAAAAATGGGCAAAATATGTGAATATACATTCCTCCAAAGAAGATATAAAAATGGCAGTAAGAACATGAACAAGTGCTCACTAATCTGTTACTAATCACTAGTCATCAAGGAAATGCATGTTAAAACTACAATGAGGCCCAGTTACAATGTACAATGGTAGTTCAACACTCTGCTTGAAGCCAAATGCAAAATCAGAGTTCAGTTCTTGGGCTCACCTATACACATCCGACACATACACATGCTTGTTATTCTAGCTGGCTGGGAAACGTTGGGGGTATGGGGTATGTGGAGCATGGATCATGGTGTGAGATCTTGTTGAAGGTGCTTGTCTTTCTCTTTCATGAAATTAATAAATTTTAACTTAAAAAATAGGGCAAGATAGCACTTCACATTCATTAGGATGACAAATATAAGAAGAAATTAAAAATACCTAAATAGAAAATAACAAAAGAGACAAAGATGACACAGAGGATGGGTGGTGGGAAGAGGAAGGGAAATGGGGTGGTGTTGAGACAACATGCAGAACCTAAGTTTGAAAAAAGAAAGAAAGAAAGGTTTAGTATAACATATTATTGAACAATTATTGGGTCATCAGAAAAGTCACAATGTATTTTTCTATGCAAAAATGCATTGCGACTTTTCTGATGACATTATAATTTCATAGCCTATAGAAGAACTGAAAGAGT